ACATGACTTCATTTCCAGCAGAATACTCTTCTGCACCAGCGTTGGAAGGGATGAACGTTTCCCATGCTTCAGGCTTGGATCAGGAGTGGAAGCCCTATGCACTGTAATGAGGCTGTTGAATTCAATTAGTGGGGACTTCTGAGAACACTGCTCTATTGAGGATTAAGAAGTCATTTCTCTGCTTTTCCTGAAATGTGCATGAAACAGTCTTTGTTTTGGGGGTTAGCTGCCCTGCTTCTCTATTGCAGACTTAATATAATTCTTCGTTTAAACACTCTTCTGTGCTATCCCTTGTAATAGGTAGGTCCAGAAATAATAATGTATAAAGAAGATGAATGTAGAACAGAATACTGTTTCTAGATATGAATTACAAAGATTCCAAGAGTATAGGAGCTTGAAACAGCTTTATGCGTTCCTCTGCTAAGCGTTAACTTTCTTTAACACGTTTAGGACGCTGCAGTGGGAATAACTTGCTTTGTGGAGACAGAGAATAGTTATGTTTCAGAAGTTGCAGCTTGCCTTTTTGGGGGACAGAGGTTGTTGAAGAGGTGTAGAGCAACTGGGGAATGCAGGTGAGAATCTTTCTCTGCTGAATTTCTCTCCTGTCTTTGTGCCCACAGATTCTAGTCAAGGCCCGTCAACTGACCTGTTGAGCACATCTCCTAAAGCTCCTCTAGGTAAGTGAGACTCTTTGATAACTCTTAGATCAGTCTTGCTCTTATACTCACTGTTCAGTAAGCTCAGTGGAGCTGGGACTGATGAGCCTATCTTCAGAATATCTAAAGGAGCTTAGCTTCCTGTGGTGTCAGTATTGAGAATCTTCTAGACCCAAAAACCCAACCGCACATTTGGTTCAGTTCATTGGAGGTTTCCAGCTCCTTTGGATGATCAAGTTCAAAGCCGTCTCATTTCCATTACCTTGTTTTCATTTTGCGGCTTGGACAGAACTTGGTATTTAAATATCTAGAACTTGGCTACTCAGGGCCATGTGGCTGACTTCGTAGGAAGCTTGGAGGCAAAGGAATTTTTAGCTTGCTCATTAATAGGGATTGTTCCCCACCATTACCATCTAGGCATGGAGCATCTAGATGGAGTTTCTCTGTTTAGCTAGAGCGTGCTCCTGGCCCACAGTGTGTTCATCCTGGGTGGAAAGCCTGCATCCTCAAGCATCTATTCCATGCCCGATGTTTTATGTCTCTTCTTTAGACCTGTCCATGTGTCTGTCAACACAAGGGCCTGCTCCTGCCAGAGGTAACTGGCTATCAGCTGGCCTGCGCTGGCTGTTTGTGACAACTCTGTCTGCCCCTTTTGTGACTCTGCCTTCAACTCTAACATTAGCTTCCTGTGCTTGGAAGGAGAGAATGAGCTGAAGTTAACATATATCACATTGGGTTCTAAACCACCTATTGCTTCTCTAGAAAGAGAGCTTATTGTTGTAATTCCTATTAAAAACATCTCTTGAGTGATCAAAAAAGCAAGTGCTAGGAATGGTGAGCTGAAAACACTGCCTGTGTTTTGAATAGTGTGAAGATTTTGCGCTCCCTATTTCAAAAGTAGATGGTAAAACTAGAAAAGACATAGAAAAGGCTGTTGAAGATGACCTAAAGTATGGGTTGCTGAAATCTACATGGGCGCAGAAAGTAATTCTCCACTTTAGTCACCCTTGTTGGACTTTTTGTCCACAAAAGAAGCTCAGAGCTATATAACATTGGAAGCTGGAAACGTGACCTGGGCAATGCCACTTTATGCTTGCTTTGTTTTTACAGTTTTGCCTAGACATCTGCTACTTGGGTGGACTTGGCTGTTTTTACCAGCATGGTGTGCTTTATGCCCTCAGAGGGACAGGTTCCTGGTGGAAGGTGGCAGGGGAACCTGTTGTGTCTGGCTCGCTGGACTTTATGTCCATCTTGCAGTTCTTCTGAGCGTGTAAACCTGATTTTACAGTTCTTCTTTGTCCCTAAGGCACTGATAAGGAACACTGACCTTCATATACCCTGACATGACATTTTCCTGGATTTATGTATGGAACAAATCAAGTCTTTTGCTAGTTTTCATAACCTTTACTGGATAGGGACACTAGCAGTGTGACATTTGGAGGAACTGTTAGAAGCACTTAGTTTATTTACAAGTTTCTCCAGGGATGGACTTGCTTCTCTAGGCCACCAGCTTGCAACTGTGGAGCTTCTCACTCCTCTCAGTGCTGCTTTCTTGGCTTGGTCAAGTCACCTAGGCTGGTGTTGTGAAGCTGCATGGTGTGCCCTTGACTCTGTATCATCTGGGCTGTGGTGGCTGTTTGTGTGGGTTGCTAACTTATGTTGCCTTCTTGAAATTAATTCGCTCCTGCTTACATGCTGCTGCTTTCCTCTCACAGAACTTAAATCCTCCCTCATTGGAAAGAAGAAGCCAGGAGCTGCCAAGAAAGGGGTATGTCTGAGCTCTTGTTTTGCAGAGAGGAGGCAGATCATATTTCATATATTTGTGCTTGCCTTTCCCTGGCCCCTTGCTTTTTCCCATTAATCAAGTTGCCTATGAGATGACCAGAGCTCTCTCCCTTCCCCAAATGGTATCTCATTGCTTCTTTTGAAAGATAGCTTGTACGTTAAGGGACAAAAATAATTAGGCTTTGGATCATTATGCTTATGATCAAGAGTCCATGTGGCTAATCTCTTAGAACTGGTCACTGGCTGGTTAAGTCCTGTATGTTCTTCCATCCTCTGCTGCAGGCCCTACTGGGCCTGTAGCTTATAACTAAACAGGCTGACTGAAGGGCTGATCAGTGCAGTGAGGCACAGGCTTCAGACTGCTGGTCTTATTTTACTCTAAACAGTGGGATGAAGAACTCACACTTGTTTGTTTGTTTTTTTTAAGTTGGGTGCAAAAAAGGGTCTTGGAGCCCAGAAAGTGAGCAGCCAGAGCTTCAGTGAGATTGAGCGGCAAGCCCAGGTAGCAGAGCAGCTGAGGGAGCAGCAGGCAGCGGAGTCCAGGAAACAAGCGGAGGAGTCCATGTAAGTGCCTTGTTTGGGCTGAATACCTTGCCTACATAAGGTAGAAGTAACAAGAGGTTGGTGCTATTCACTGTGAGACCAGCTAATCTGAGCACAGAAGATCCTGCATGATAGGATGAGTGGTAACCTGAAGCAGAAATGGTCCTTACAGCTAGGCACAAGTTACATTGCCACGTTTTATTCAAATTAACATCTTTGGAAGAGTCTTAGAAGAGCAGATATAGAAGTATCTTGCTTTTCTGTTGACCTTGAGGCAGGACTGAAAATGCTAAAGGCTGATCTGGGTGGGGACCTGTTTATTCCTCTCTCCCTGGCTGGGGGGAATGCTGGCAGTAAGGAAATCATGGTCTGCACAAAAAGAGCAGAATCCCAGTGGAGGTATGAGGTGAGATGGGAAGACGAGTAGTAGCTTTTATGCAAGGATTTTTTGCTTGGCTATTGGGAAAACTAGTGCTTGATGGTGGTCAGGGTTATTTTCCTCCTTGAACCTCCACAGGATGAGAACGGGGGAGGGGGGGCAGAGGGATCAGAGCCACT